TTCATCTGAAAATTTCGTTTTTCAATTGTACCGGCTCGAAATTATCCTAGTATGAAGTCCTTATAAGTGTGATAACACTCACTTTATCTGCCCCTTCAGCTGCCTCCTTTGATTCCTTCATGTCATCACCGCCACCAGTCCTAGCATCGACTTTCACTTTGGGTGGGCTTTCAGCCACGAACCTTTCGAAAACGGACTTTTCGTTGTCGGCGCCCTGAAAAAAGACTCGAAGATTTTTGTATTTTTCAGTTGTACGTAATACTTATGCTGAATTAGCAAATGTATAGCGAACTGGAAAATGCCCCTCCTAGCACCCAGTGTTCTTTTCTGAGAATTATTTAAGGGACATGCCTTATCGGGGTTAACCATGATAGATGCCTCATTTGAGAAATGCTGCTTGATGAATGCAACAACCTATAATTGAAATGAGAACACGTGTCCAAAGACAAAGTCTACGATAATCGTATGACCGGAGACAGTCCACGATCGTGCCTTCCCCATTGGCGCGCACCTCTTGCCGTCATTCCTTAAAAAAAGAAAAACCCACCAGTGAGAAAAGGCACTGCTGTAGATCTGGCTCCACTCATATGTTCAAAGCGGACTGTGCCCTCAAGCGTTATCAGGTCAAATCTTACCTCGGTCATGGTAGCTCTAGCTGAAGGGTCCTTCACGTATACTCGATCTCTGACAAAATTTCGAAATTCCTCTGGACAGGAATCAGGCAATGTCAATTGTTTTCCTTCCAAGAGCTTCAAAAGGGGTTATTTGAATAGAATCCTCAAGTTTGAAACGCTGATGATAGTGAGAAAAGGCCACCCTCTCGGCCAGTCCGCGCCTCTTCAGCTAAATACTGCTCGTTACTGAATTACAACTTGAGGAAAACTGATGCGATACAGTATGTGAAACTGCGCGTAAAATCAAGTGCGTAGGACTGGCCAGTGCACACATTACTCCTCACATCGCGTCTAGAAAATACCTGACTGCGGATTGAGAGCGGAATTAGCTTCTCGCGCACTCCTTAGCCCCCGGAGCTCCGCCCCTTCCACGGTATGAACAGTTGTATGCGTCATGGGACCAACACTTTCAATTTCACGCGCAGTTCCTGTGGTACTGTGTACGGCCTGTCTTCCTGCACTTATAATCCTGTGTGTTCGTTTGGTTCGGCTGACATCAGTGAGGACGCAGACTAGAAGAAAATGGGCGTGGCGAAGTCGCACTCCACTCTCCCCCAGCTACACTCTACATCCCGGCATCGGAGGGGGCGTGGCTGCATACTTCATCGGAAGATATACCATTTTCACTTTAAATCGGACACTTTTCAAACCAAATCGGACACTTTTCAAACCAAATCGGACACTTTTCAAACCAAATCGGACACTTTTCAAATCAAATCGGACACACCCCTTACAATTAGGTGGTTGATAACTAGACCACACTAGGTACTGTTGCAAGCCCCATTATCCCCGCCCATTTCTCAGCAGACAGGGTTTTCCGAGATGCTTCATGAAATCTGCTCCCTCGACTTTTTTTCGTTTTTGCCCTTTGCACACACACTTCAACTGAAAAAGACAGATCTGACTCCGCCCACTTAACAATGAAGTTACGTAAGTTCTGAATTTTTATAACTTTTTTTCGACGTAGTTCTTTTCACATCAATCTTCACAAAACGAATAACCATGCACAGCACACCAGGCCCCGCCCCTCTGACCCCGCCCACTTGTGTTTATCGCGGAATTTTGGTTTTTCTTCCGGATTTTCGCTTTTTTAGGCTTTAGCGATTGGCTCCGCCCACCAATGGAAGCTCCGCCCACTTTGGGGAAGCCCCGCCCACTTTTCGAAAATGATGCAAATCGGCGGGCTAGTGTCCGTACTGGCGGATTACGGCCTCTCCCGGCACATAGAATAAAAAAAAGGAAAAACCGGAAAAAAGGGAAACTTTGTTCTGAGCGACGGGAGAGGCCGTAATCCGCCAGTACGGACACTAGCCCGCCGATTTGCATCATTTTCGAAAAGTGGGCGGGGCTTCCCCAAAGTGGGCGGAGCTTCCATTGGTGGGCGGAGCCAATCGCTAAAGCCTAAAAAAGCGAAAATCCGGAAGAAAAACCAAATTCCGCGATAAACACAAGTGGGCGGGGTCAGAGGGGCGGGGCCTGGTGTGCTGTGCATGGTTATTCGTTTTGTGAAGATTGGATGTGAAAAGAACTACGTCGAAAAAAGTTATAAAAATTCAGAACTTACGTAACTTCATTGTTAAGTGGGCGGAGTCAGATCTGTATAGGTATCAACCTTTTCCAGTTGAAGTGTGTGTGCAAAGGGCAAAAACGAAAAAAAGCCGAGGGAGCAGATTTCATGAAGCATCTCGGAAAACCCTGTCTGCTGAGAAATGGGCGGGATAATGGGGCGGAGCTTGCAACAGTACCTAGTGTGGTCTAGTTATCAACCACCTAATTGTAAGGGGTGTGTCCGATTTGATTTGAAAAGTGTCCGATTTGGTTTGAAAAGTGTCCGATTTGGTTTGAAAAGTGTCCGATTTAAAGTGAAAATGGTATATATGATGCGATAGTTCCGACTGAGACAATTGTCGTCTTGTATTATACTGGATGAAGGCATACTTACAGCTGTTGCGCAATGAAAAGGTTCCACTGGGAGCTAAATCGCTTCCAAAGTTCAAATGAAGTACGTTGCCCGTGATGTGGATCGTACCTTAGTATTACGAGCCGCTTACCCCTTTCTTAACTTCCGCATTCGAATATCCATCCCATGGTTCTTTTCCGTTGGTGAATATCTCATACACCATTACCCCATAGCTGAATACGTCGGTTTTCAGGGAGAAAGTGAATGTAGCGATCGTTTCCGGAGCCAACCATTTGATTGGCAATTTTCGTGGGCTACGAATCGTGTAGTTCACCCCTAATCGTGACAGTCCAAAATCGCTGATTTTCACCTGAAATCAAATCATTCGGCACCTCATGTAACCCTGACAATGGTCTGCAAACTGACCACTTTATCCTGTGAATATAAGCAATTTCTTGCAGCCAAGTCCATATGTATACAGCTTTGCTTGTGAAGATATTCTACACCTTGGGCTGCTCCTCTGCACATGGTCACTTTTTCAAACACGCTGACTTTGTCTGCATTCCCCCGTAGATAGACGTTCAGAGCACCACCTTAAAATCAATATCAACTTAGCCCTTATCCTGTGAATCAGATGCAAACGATTGTGAGTAGCGACCGGACGCTCTCTCGCTGTGAGGGTCCAGAGGTGTTTTCTCATCGCATCTTCTGTTCGAGCATTTAGAGGAAGGAAAATAATGAAGAAGGATGAGAAAAGGAAGGAAAGGAAG